GAGGGGGTTGACGTGTGAAGCAGGCTTCTTCCTAATTTGAACTAATAAAATTTTTTTTTTAAAAAGGGGAGTTAATGTATAAAAACTTCCTTTGCAGCCTAATGCGGTGTTTAGATGTAGTTGGAGCACCTGGGAGGTGGAGGTTGAGGATCAGGACGTAATTACTGATTAACCTTACCTACAAAGTGAGTTTAAGGCCACAATGAGGAAATGGGACTTTTTTTTTTTTTGGTTTTTTGAGGCAGGGTTTTTCTGTGTAGCTTTGAAGCCTATCCTGGCACTCGCTCTGGAGACCAGGCTGGCCTCGAACTCACAGAGATCCGCCTGCCTCTGCCTCCCGAGTGCTGGGATTAAAGGCGTGCGCCACCAACGCCCGGCTGAGGCCCCATCTTTAACAAAGAAAAATAATTTTATTTAGAAATATCCATAGACATGAATGATTGATGACTATGATGATAAAGATGATAGAAATTTTGGCAAAAAATGGAACAGGTACAAATGAACTCCTACTTTGCAGCTGTTATCTGAGAAATATACTAATGGAGTGTGAGATGGGTTAGGCAGGTATACTCCCAAACTAAAATGACAGGGATGGAATCAAGGAAAGGTAGAGAACAGAGATGGGTAACTTTAAGTCTATCCAGGGCTTTAAAACAGAGAACTCCCATGAGAAAATACGGTGAAAGTAAGATGATGTTCATAAAGTAACAAAACATACAGCTGGGAGTAAATTTAAATGAAAAACAATATAAAACTCTGCCAAAGAGACACAAAAGAGAATTTAAAGGAGAAGAAAAAACATATCTAATTTCTGAGTAAACATACATCTTGGGGGAGATGAGTTCTGACTATGTATCTCCATTGTCCTGAAAGTCACTCTGCATGCTAGCCTGACCTTGAACTTATTATACTTTGCTTCTTGCTTCAGACTCTTAGGTGCTGGGATATATGTAGGCTAACATACCAAACAACATGCAATTTTTTAAATTAAGTATTTCCTATGTTATTCTGAGCATCTTTAGGAATTCGGGGCTGGGGGGCATTTAGATTTTAGAAAGAGTATTTGTTACTTATATATAAGTTAGCCAATTTGTGGCTATACTGCAAGTTTCTCTGATATTTGAAACTGGCCAGATTGCTTATCTATGGTGCTTAATCTCAGAGATGATGGCTCTTTTATCCCTCAATATCTAAAGGCTGTTTTTAGACTAGTAGTCACCAACTGGTTCTGAATCTTTTTTCCAGTTGAATCTAATTTTCAGTCCAGTTGGATCACAGTGGGGTTAATCCATAGTGAGAATTAAAAAGGAAAAATACAGTGGAAAATATTTCAGTGCAATCTTGAACTAGAGTTCTGCTGCCAGAGTGCTGTTTCCTGCTGTTATTGCCTTGGTTATTATCCCTTTGGAATTTTTGTTAAAGGAATGTTTAGGGAGTTTCTCTCCTTCCTTCTCTCTCTCCCTGCCCCCCACACGAAAAACAGTGAAAAATATCTCGATGGAATGACATATATCAGAGCTTGCAAAATGGAAGCCTGAGGGACACTTAGAGTACAAGAAAAAGAAAGAAAGAAAGAAAGAAAGAAAGAAAGAAAGAAAGAAAGAAAGAAAGGAAGGAAGGAAGGAAGGAAGGAAGAAAGAAAGGAGAAAGAGGGAGAGAGAGGGAGGAAGGGAGGGAGAGAGGGAAGAAGGGAGGGAAGGAGGGAGGAAGGGAAGGAGGGAGGGAGGGAGGGAGGGAGGAAAAAAAAGTTAAAGTCCTATCAGGTCTTTAAAAATCTTTTAGTGAGTTGTTAGAATTTGAAAGCCATAAAATTTATGTAAAAATATGGATTTTTCTATGTATTGGTTTACTCCATAGGCAGACTAAGCTTAAATTGAAACAAGTAGTCAAGCAGAACCACCATACCAATAATGGGGAAAACCAGAAATTTTATAAAGACATTATTTTAATTTCAACACATGTCTTTGTTTAGTGTGATTTTGAAAAGTATAATTTTATTTGTTCTCTAGAAACATAGTTATTTTGAATACTCTTTGGGGAAAAAATAAGCAATCCAAGTTCCATTTCCAGCTCTTTTTATAACCAAAAGAATGTGACCCCATTAGGCCGAACTTCCCACTTGTCGGGACCCGGAAGACCGCATTCACAGTGCCTGCTGCTTTCTGTTTTTCTCATGCCCCTCTAGTCTAGGCCTCTCAGTAAGGTCGCCTATCTTGTCTGTGTGATGTTTCTGCAAGGGGCTGGGACTTCTGCATCTTACTTACTCTTACGACCTTTTAAGTACTCCGGGTCAACAAGGATTACTCTGCAGAGAGAGGGAGAGGTGGCATCCTGGTCAGAAAACCGTTAAGTGTGAGCGAAACAGAGATTGACTCTTGAAGTGATTCTTCCCTTTTTACTCTTCGGTTGGCCTCATTGTTCTGCATGATCATTCATGGCCTCTCTTTTACTTCCTGGCTCCCACTCCCTTCCCAGGCTCTTTCCTACTTGGGACTCACTAAGATATGGGCTCCACAGTGTCCGAATCATCCACGAAGTCTCTTTTCCCCAGGTAGATGGAAAGCTGTTGTGGAACAACTTGTTGTATCAGTCTCGAAGTTGTCTTTGAATGAATTGTCCTGAAACCCAGAGTCCAACCCACTGAGATCTTGAAGAACATATCCACTCATCCCTCTGGCTGGGTCAGGTTCTCTTACCTTCCCATTGGAGCTAGTCTTCTTAAACGCTCAAAATCAGAAAGAGGAAGGGGTTGGCAGAGCAAAAAAGAGGAGACAAAAGAAGAAAAGAAAGGGAAGTTTGGGGAACAGAAAAGATTCCTAGGATTAGAAGAGGCTCCAAGAGCATGAGATAGAGCAAAGGTAGAGATAATTGGGGTAGGGGCCAAAGCTATAAACTCCTCCAGTCCAAAGACAAATACTCAGGTTTGGATAAGGAACAATCCACAGATCAACATCAATAGACAGAATTCTTATGTGGACATGCTGGCTGAGGAATTTATGCTGAATCTTTCCTGAGACAAGGGAAAGGAGGAAAACTCAGTTATTTAATCCCTGTTTTCCACATTTCACTCCAGTATCCCACAGAGATGTACCCAGTGTAATGAAAATTTACTTTCTTAGATACCACACCAGCACTCAATGCTTCCTGTTCTTCCCCCTTCCTATAAAGAACCAAAAGTTAAAATTAATAAAAGCTTAAAAACCTGGGCCCCGAAGAGGGAACTTTTAATGACTGGGAATGCCATGGCTGGTGCCTGAGCCCAACTCTCAGAGAAGGGGAGGAGAATGTCCACCACTTGTGTCAACATTCCTACGTCTGCTAATAGCTGGTGATAAGGTTGTAAAGATCCCTCGGCCTAAAATCAAAAACACCAATGTCAGTTGGAATCTTGAAATTTGCAGGAAAATGGATGGAACTAGAAGAAACCATTGTGAGCGAGGTAACCCAATCACAAAAAGACAAACATGGTATGTACTCACTCATATGTGGATTTTAGACATAGAGTAAAGGATTACCAGCCTACAATCCACACTGCCAGAGAAGCTAGTAAATAAGGAGGACCCTAAGAGAGACATACATGGTCCCCTGGAGAAGGGGAAAGGGTCAAGATCCCCTGAGCAAAATTGAGAGCACGGGAAGAGGGGGGAGGGAGCTATGAGAATGAGAAGGGAAGAAGAGGAGGGATGCAGAGGTCATGAGGGAGCAGAAAGGTTGAGTCAGGGAAGAATAGAAGAAAGGATATGTGATAGGTTTTAGTTGGGGGGTGGTGGAGGAGGACGGGAGGGAGAAGGGAACTGGGATTGTCATGTCAAACAATCTTGTTTCTAATTCAAATAAAAAATGATTAAAAAAAATAAAAAATAAAAAAGATCCCTCGGCCAAGGGGATAACTGACAGACCCTGTGACTCTGTAACCCTGCAACCCCATGCCCTGTCTTATCATACTCAAATGTATTTTGCTTAAAATATATAGTTACTGCTTTACTCTGTACTTTGTATGACCTTAAGTAATCACGGAAACTCTGAAATTTGTGGTCTTCAACCTTATGGTCTTCCCCTTTAAAAGCTTTTCTTTTGGCTGGTTGGATCTCATTTCCCTGCCATGGAGTGAGATCCAAGCTGGCCAGCTTGAACAATAAAAAGAAACCTTTGCTTTTGCATCAGAGGTGCGGGCTCTTTGGGTTGGTCTGGGGCTCCGAAAACCAGGCACAACACCTAGGGCACCTCTTCAGTTATACACTTAGCCAACTGGACTAGGGGAGAACACCTCCCTCCCTATTTTCTGTAAGTCAGTCTCTGTCTTTCAGTTTGCCTGCCTTTCTTTCTGTGTGTGTGTGTGTGTGTGTGTGTGTGTGTGTGTGTGTGTGTGTACATGCATGCACGCATATGGCATATTGTGAAAGGCAGAAGGATGTCTAGTGTATTTCTTGATTGCTCCCCACCTTATTTTGTAACCCTTTCTAGTTATCCCACTTGATCCCACGCTGGCTCTTAAAATGTGTTTCTTGGCCTGTATGATACTGAACTTCACCTGGCACACAGTCATCGGCAATATATGTTTGCTAACTATATGAATGAATAAATAACTCGATTATTTCTCTGTTTGTCCCTGAAATGGACACGAACCTGAATTAGGATGCTTTTGACCTCCATCTAAGAAAGAAGAAAGGTAAAAAGGAGGAGGAAAGGTGTAGGAGAGAAGGGGCTGCTGCTCTGGCTTTCTTGGTGTTGGTGGTAGAAGCCTCTGTGGAGGTTGAAGTCCCTCTTTGCCCTTACTTATCATCTCACTTATTACTTTCCTCCAAATTTCCCACCCTAGCCCCACACATCTCTTCAGGTGCTAGGGAACCATAGAGAGAGAAGTGTCTTCTGGTGCTTTCCTTTGATACCTACTAGGCCTGGTCAAAGGGATGAGCTGGGGGTGGTGAGTTCTAGGAGTCTCTTACTTCAGCCTGAAAATCCATTTGCTTGCATCAGGAAAGATGCCCCTCTCCTTCCCCTAAAGAGATGCTAAAGGCAAGGATCGTAGGCTTAGAATGGGCTAGAAGCAGGGAGATTTAGAATATTACCTGAGGAAAGAGACAAAGTGCACATCAGCCTCCAGCTCTGGTTGCTAAGCTGGCCTCCCAGCCTCTTATATCCATAGTCCTCTGAATGTGTAGATTGGTGGGAGTCAGAGAACAAGAATAGGGTTGAGGTGGGTGGCATGAAACACTGCTATAATTAACTCAGGGGCCAAGAGTTTGGAAAAGAGATTAGTGAGTACAGATTAGTGCCTATGAGATCAGCTGGTTGTTACTGAGGGGGTAGGACAGGGCTAAGGGATTCTGATGAGGTTACTGAATGAAAAAAAAAAGAAATAAAAAGGAGGGCATGATTGCTCCTGTGTATGATGGAGAAGGCTTATTGTAGATAAGAGGCACCTGGAAGGGGCCAGAGTAACCATGACCTGAGCCAGGCCATGTGAATGAGACCAGGAGACTAAGAGGCCAAAGGGGCAAAAAGGTAAAAGGAGTAAAAAGGATCACATAGCCCAAATGGCTGGATTATATTAAGGAAGAGCCACTGGGGAAGGGGGAGCCCAGATCCTGGGGTGGAGTGTTCAGGGTAGGGGTTGAGGTCTGCCAGTCATACCGTGTAACAGGTAGGGACTGAGGGATTCTGGGAGAACCTGGAGGCCAGGTCTGCCTTGATATGTAAATAGGCACCTCAGCCATTTTTCCTGGTTTGAGGCCTAATAGTTACAGGTGGCTGCACTTAAGAAGGGAACTAGTGGGGCTTGAACTTGTGAATGTTTACACATGAGGGCTGGGATGAAAGACAAGCTGGAATTCTTGAAGGTGAAGCACAGGGAGGGGTGAAAATAGGAGAGTTCACAGTGTGAACCTTCGTTTGTCTGAGCAACTTGGGTCACATTCTGGCCTCTGTATTTTTCAGCATCTGTTCCAGGCCACATGAGAGCCAAGAGTATGGGAAAGAGTAGCCTTTCCCAGAGGCCCCCTCTTGGGACTTTGGGCTCTTGAAGCCTGCTAGCAATCAGAACCCCTGGTTATCCTGCTCCTGTGTACAAGCAGGAACCAGTCTTCAGGAGGTGGTGGAGCAGGAGCAGAGATCCTTGAATTTCCTTTAGCAAAGAGGAAGGCACCATAGCATTCCTTGACTAGGGGTAGACTCTCTGCTAGACTAGCAGAGCATTACACTTTCAGAGAACAGGCAGTTGACATCTGTATGGCCCAGACCTAGAATAACTTCCCCACCTCCCACTGCCCAGCTCTTGAGTCTTTCCAATCCCTGAAACTAAGTCTGTGCTCTAAGCAGCTTCCCTCACCTTGTTTGACCACCCATGGAATTAGAGATATTTCTGTCCCTGCAGCTGCCAGGGCCTCCAGAACAGTAGCAACAAAGTTATCTATATTTCTTGTTTTTCTCATAGGCCTTGGCCCCACCTCTGTAGGCATGAAGCATGTGGAAGCAAAAACTCCAAGGTCTGAGGATCCAGGACTCTGAGCCCCCTTATCCTCTACTTAGACCTAGCTGGTCTTTTGTATTTACTTATATCCACAGTCTTCCACCCTTGAGATGGCTCTCTAGTCCTCAGAGGATAGCTGTGGCTGTGGCTTAGAAGGCTGACTGAACTGGGGCTTCCTTCTCTCCTAGGGCCCTATGTAGGATAGAGATAGCAGTATCAAGATTAACATATGGCTGGGTGTGGTGTCTCATGCCTCTAATCCCAGCACTCAGGAGGTGGAGGCAAGGTGGATTTCTGTGAATTCCAGGACAGCCAAGGCTACATAGACCCTGTCTCAAAAATTAACATATGAAAAATTAACATATGAATGAGATGAATGACAGAGAAATAGCCTAGAACTCAAAACCAAGGGCTACATGTATGGGCCAGAGTATTCATGTGAGAAAAGTACCTGAACTACAAATGGTGGAAAAGGTGAGTGCTTTATTAATAATCCATAAAAAGGCACAACTGTAGCCCAGTGCCACTGAGCTTCCAGTTCTCTGCTTCACTTCCTTGTTTGGAAATGTTCTCTCTCTTAATAAGCAATCTCTTAAACTGCCACTGTCCAGATGTCCCTGGTCCAATTCCTACAGGTCACAAGAATCTGGAAATGCAGCAGGTGCTCTGCAAATTCCAATATCTGCCTCTAACCCCTAGCTAGAATCCCTGTATTCCCTTGCACAGTCGACTGAGTCAGCTGGAGCTGTTCGTGACCAGCGTGCCCCTCAGGGCCTTCTCAGTTAATTGCTCTGTGTCTCTCACAGGCATTTCCAGCTAGCTGGAGAAGCTCAGATTCTACTGGGACTGTAATGAGACAGAAACTAACCTTTGGCATGTGGGAAAAAGGCAAAAACTTGCTAACGTTGGTGACTGTGGGGAAGGTAAAAGCTAGAATCAATCATGCTCAAAACCCACTCTCCCTTTTAGGTGCTTATCCCCCCTTTGAAGTCAGGTTGTGATCTGCTCAGTGGGGAGAAAGGAGACCTTGGAGGCATTTAACTCCTTATTACTATTGAACTTAAATCTTCATCTCTTTTTCTGAGTATTTGCAATTTGGGGCTGTGATATAATTTGTAGGTATTAAAATGCACAATTTTTTTTGAGACCACTGTGTAGTTTAGGCTGGCCTGGAACTCACAACTCCTGGCTTAACTTCTATACTGTTGAGATTACAGGCATATGCCACCATGCCCAGATTAATGAATACATACTATGATGGGCTGAACATTGACCCTTACACATATCAGGCCATAATTATTGAAGCCTATAAATATTACCTTATGTGATGAAAGGGGCTTTGCACATGTGACTAGGATTCCTTCCCCACACCCCTTTCTTGGTGTTTTTGAGACATGGTTTCTCTGTGTAACAGTTCTAGCTATCCTGGAACTCGCTTTTTAGACCAGGGTGGCCTCGGACTCACTGAGCTCTGCCTACCTCTGCCTCCTGAGTGCATGATTAGGATTCTTAAAAAAGAGAAATTATTCTGGGTTATTTGGGTTACCTAGTCTTATTATGAAAGAGAAGCGAGTTGGGTGAGATGATACACATCTTTAATCCCAGCCTTTGGGAAGCAGAAGCAGATTGATCTCTGAGTTCAAGGCCAGAGTGGTTACAATAATGGATGCCAGACCAGCCAGGGCTACACAGTGACAGCCTGTCTAAAAAGCAAACAAAAACTAGATTTGACTGTAGAGACAGGCAATATGAAGACTGAAACAGGATGCTACCACTGTTTGCATTGAAGACAGAGGAAGAAGCTGGAGCTGCAGAATGTGGTTATGCAAGCTGAAAGTGAAAGGAAATGGATTCTCTCCACAGACTCTCTTATAGTCTAAGTGAAGCCCTGCTGACGCTTTAATTTTAGACCATTATTGCTGATTTTAGACTTATGAGCTCCGTATTGTGTATGGCCTTAAATCAAGTCTGTGATAATTAGTTACAATATCTGTAGAAACTCATACCCTGTGTACACCCATAGCCCCCCAAATTCCCTTGTTCCCATACTAGCAATCTCCCAAAGAGAACTATCACCATCTTTTCATTTGACACGGAGTATCTGCATTTTCCAAGGATGCAGGGGTAAGAGGGCAAAGGATACATCTGATAGACTGTTGGGAACAATATTGTCATGTCCTTATCCACTCTCATTCCCAGTGATAGCCCAGCTAGACCGTCCAGTTAGGATGTGATACTCACATCACTGTATGAGAAACGGATGGCTTTTTCAGTAAGGGTTGTAGCACACAGGATTGCTCACAACTCAGTAGCCCTCTCCCCATCTTTGTAGACAGAGTCACCATTTTTAGAGGTATCTACCCTCCTCTGGTGCTTTTCTCAACAAACCAGTTAGGGTTGTTTCATCTCTTTGGCAATGACTGGGTTTTCTAAGCAGGATGAAATTCAGGCCACTGAGATGCGAAAAGAAATATGCTGGGGAGATTCTGAAAAAGGTTTCCTGAATGATGAAAAATGATAAAAATAAATGCACAGGAAGAGAGGCCTTCCTCTCTTCTCATTGAATAGTGCCGAGTTTGGATGCAATGCCCGAACTGCCACAGTCCCCTTGTGACCATGAGCATTCCTAACAACATGCTGAGGGTTGCAGATCAGAAAGATGGAAAGAATCTAGATGTGTACATTACTGAACTGCTGAATCCGCTCCTGGACTTAAATGCAAGCTCATATGTATTTATTTTTTTAAAAGTTAGCTGAAATGTTCTGTTACTGTAATTGAAAGCAAATCAACAGATTTTTAAAGATATTTTATTAGCGTGTGCTATTTATATATCATAGGTTTCATTATAACATTTTCAAACATGAACATAATACATTTTGACTGTGTTCACCCTCATTGGTCTTTCTTTTCCCTTCCCCCTCTTCCCAACCAGTCTCCTTTAGTTATCATGTCTGTTTTCTTCCAGTGAGATTGGGGTTATTTACAGGAGCATGGGTTAGACTTTGTTTACAGGAGCCTGGGCACCTTACCAGCAGCAACACCACTGAAGAAAATGTCTCTCCCTCTGTACCATCAA